AGTTATTGTATATATATATATATATATATATATATATATATATATATATATATATATATATATATATGGATGCAGCCACACACCAAAAAGGAAGTCGGTACCTCACTTATTTTTCATATTTCAGCTTTCTTAAACTTAGAATGGAACCTAAAGCTTTATACTCAATCAATTTTTCTCTGACCCACCTTCATGCAGGTGATCTAAACATCTCTCTGTTCGCCAGGCAAACAAAGACCTGATGACTTTCCTGTTGGAGGGGCGTGAATTTAATTTGCTCTAGAATTTAGCTGCCTAATGAAGCTCCTCATGCAGTTTAAAGCTCACACTCCAGTTGTGAGAACGCTCCCTTGTTGTGAATCAAATTGTCTTCAGCTGCAGAACAGAAGTTCAGTTGCTTTGTTTATTAAAACTTTTTGGGATATCCTTACACAAAATAATAATTAACATCAGTAACAAAGCATCTTATTATGGATTCTTTTAACATATATTAATGCACATGCTCAAACTACATACTTTGCGATGCACTGTGGTCTTTGTATATTCTTGTCTACTTTAAAAGCTGATCAACTTTTATTTGTTGTTTGCATATGTACTTGTTACTTTCAGTGACTGTGGCCTCCTTATCTAATGAAAAATGATAAGAAATCATTCTACAGTTTAAGCTTTGCGTTCAATTTTATCTTCTTTGTTTTCCCCTCGTCGCAGTGCAATAAGCAGGAATTAGAAATGCCCTCCATCCTGCTGCTGTGAGCATGATTACATTAAAATAAGTGACGTACTGACTTCTATTTTTGTGTGTGGCTGCATGTTGATGTAAGAAAGGTTCCCTTTAAAAACTGGGATGCCATGTCAAAATCCAAGATGACTTCAGCCATATATACAGTATCTGTAAATCAATCACCTCTATCATTTGAAGAAACTATGCTTTCTAGTTTTATATTTCTTAAAAGCATAGTTTCCTCAAATGACTGGGGTGGCCAAATATTAATCTATGGTAGCCATTGCCACCACTGGCCACCCCCTGGGTCTTTCATTGCTCCTGGTGGTGGATATTATTGCTCCCTCCACTCACCAGGATCCATCACTCATTTGATGCCTCAGATAAGGAAAAAACAAAAAAATAAAAATAACTGCCTTTAATCTCCTGTACAGTTTAACTCCCAACCAATTTAATATCTGGCACCAAAAACATTAAGCTTTACTTGTATTCCCCGTTCACTGTTACTGTATGCATGTATTGGTATCTGTAAAAAAAATATTATAAAAGCATATAATTGATGATAATAAATGTTTAATCTTCTATTGTAGATAATGATGCTGTAATTGTTTTGCTGTACAGGTTCATCCAAAGCACAGCTACGGCATGCTGTTCTGCTCATGTCCCATCAGCGACCAGACAGCGTGCTCTGAACGCAGGCGTCAAACCATCGTTCCTGTCTGTTCATATGATGAAAAACAGAAACCCAACTGTCTGGAGCTACAGGCCTCCTGCAAGACCAACTACATCTGCAGGTCAGACACGGCGTGAAATCATTTTAAGCGCTTTTAATGTTGAGGCAACAGTATGTAATATGTATTTTGTAAACTTACTGTTTACCCTTTTCCTTATTTTTTCCTAAATTTTATCCCTTCATCTTTGTTTTCTGAAACAGTCCCTCAAAATACAAAGTAGTTCAGCTACTTTATTTATTTCACAAATTTATTTATTTACAATTTTGTTCCACCTCATGCAACACATGTGATGTGAATGACAATAAAGAACCTTGAACCTATTTTTTTTTTTCTTCAAAATTGTCTCAGCATCACGGTGGCACAGTTGGTAGAACTGTTGCCTTTCAACAAGAAGGTTGCTGGTTCAAATCCAAGCTGGGAGCCTTTCTGGGTGGAGTTTGCATGTTCTCTCCGTGCTGCGTGGGTTTTCTCTGGGTGCTCCGGTTTCCTCCCACAGACCAAAAACATGCATGTTAGGCTGATTGGTAACTCTAAATTGTCCCTAGGTGTGAGTGAGAGAGTGAATGGTTGTTTGTCTCGTTTGTCTCTACGTGTCTCTGTGATGTACTGGAGACCTGCCCCCGCCTCTCGCACAGTGACTGCTGGACATGGGCACCAGTGAACCCCGTGACCCGAAAAAGGAAGAAGCCGGTAAAAGATAATGGATGGATGTCTACACTCTTCATTGTACTGTTACCAAAAGGTAACAGGTACATCCAACATTTTTCAGTCAGGTCATCCTGACAGTTTCTTTTTTTTGTGCTGAAATGTTTCGCCTTCGGTCTGGAAGGCTTCATCAGTCAAGGAAACACAACTAAACTGATTCTTCCCCCAACAGCTTACTCCAAAGTGGAACAAACCAGTTCTACTTGTGATAAGATGGTCTCTTTGGTATGCCCTACCCTCCATTGCCAGCCCTCTTCCTTGTTGACAATCTTGTCAAACTGGTTGAAAACAACAAAGTCCATGCTCAATTTTTGCCGGCACCCTGTTTGTCAACAGCACCGGTGGTGGTTGTTAACCCGGGCCTTAACTGATGTGGTATGGTTTTGTCCTGATGATCTTAGTTTTGGTAAAAGTGTTTTATGTCAAATGCCCTTCATGACAAAATCCTCACAATTTACCCGGGCTTGGCACTGGCACAAGAGATACACTTGCTTGTGCACCTTTTTGGCTGGTTTAAATAAATAAATAAATAAATAATTAATAATAATAATAATAATAATAAAATAAATATTTTTAAAGAGATTTGTCTGGAATAAATTTAAGGAGACCCAGCAGGGCATCAGAGCTTTTTCTTAAGGAAAACAAACACACATACGTACTGTAGTTGGCAGCCGGTCACAATTTTTTTCTAACATCTTGTTAAAGACACATTAAAAAAAGTTGGGCAGATTTTTTCTTATTTTATGATTACTTTCTTACAGCCTTAATGACTGTAATGAGTAGAACTAAGTTTGACTTTTGACTATAAATTGTCCATCACCTGAAACTCCCCAGTCAAAACCAAAATCCGCGAAAACCATTCCATCATCTTCATCTCCATGAGTTAAGAAAGTCTCTGCAGTCGAACTCTTCACTGACTCACATAAGCTTCTTAAGGTTTTAGGTTTAGGTTTATTGTCATATTCAGGTCAACACAAGGTCAACAACTCAATGGAAGAACCATCTTAACTCGCCAAAAAAACAAAAACAAACACATAAGAAATACCAAAGCATGCAACAAAAGTACAAAACAATACACCAAAAGTGAAAAGAAATACAACATCTACAGCAGCATTCAAGGATTCAAGGTTATTTACCGTCATTCACATTGCATGGGATACAAACAGAACGGAACTGTGTACACAGGGTCCCAGTTACATCAAACAATAGCAAAAATATGAAGTGTAAAAATAAACAGTAAATAAGGATCTAAGATATAAACTAAGATGTACAGTAAACAAACGCCAAATGGTACGCTAAAAGATCTAAGATATATGCCAGTCACTAATAGTGCAAAACAATACACCGAACACCAGCAGCACGATTCTCATAGGTTCAATTCGGTTGTAGTTCACACGCTTAATACGAGCAATAACATAAACTAAACTAGGATTTATTCAAAACGTAACAAAAATACAGAAACAAGGAGCCAAAAGTGAAAAAGAAATAAATCTACAGCAGCATGGTCCTATTGGCAGAGTGGTTCTGAGGACACTGAGGTTATCTTAGCAACATGGTCCAGTTAGCAGCATGATACTGTTAGCAATGAGGTTTCTCTTAGCAACATGGTCTCGTTGGCACCATGGTACTGTTAGCGGTGTGGTTCAGTTAAGTGGCGTAGTCTTTATAGCAGTGTTAGCAGGTCTTGTTAGCAGGTCTTGTTAGCAGGTCTTGTTAGCAGGAAGATGATAAGAAGGACCACAGTAGCTGCCTCCCAGACTGCCCCCAGAACTGGGTTTGGCAGACTGATAACATCCAAGGTTTCCCCGTGGAACTGAACGGGTCCATAGAGTTTGGTCCATGCGGGCAGGTGGAAGATCTTGTTAGTAGTGTTACCAGGTCTAGTTAGCAGCTTGATGGTAATAATGACCACAACAGCTGCTCGCTCAGACTGCCGTCCAGAACCGGTTCTGGCAGATGGAACACATCCAAAGTTCCTGTGGAATCAAACAGGTCTGTAGAGTTCAGTCCGTGCAGGCAGATGGAGACAGCCGCCATGCAAAACTCGGCCTGAGCCCGAGGCTGGAAGGACAGAACCAAGATGGCAGGATGGCAAGGCAGCGACACAGAAAACTCAGTGCAGGTGCAAAAAAATAAAACAAAACAACAAGAATAAAAAAGAGTGAATCAAAGTGGAGCTCCCGTCAGTGCTGCAATCAGTGCTGCATGTGATGTAATCATTGTAACATTAACATTAGGTATCAGTCAGCAAGGACAGCAGAAACTGCTTTCATTCTTGGACTCTCAGGATCACACATAATTTCATCCAGTTTTTAAACGGTTATATATCCAACAAATATAATTCACTGATGGACGTCCAACACTGTGGAGTTTGTGTTGGGGCAGTGTTCGGGGGCTTTGTGAGGTTGTTTTGTGGCTCTCTTGGAATAAATGGAATCATTCGGCTTCAGGTTTCCTCCCCCTCTTGCCTCACCTTTGCTTTCTTTTAGACACTAGGCAGCATGACAACACTAAATCCATACAAGTTTATGCTCTTCCCTCATACTTTTTTTCTGTCCCCGGTGCTCTCGCTCCATCAGACATATGCTCAGGGCTGAACAACAGGTCTCACTGCATTGCAGCTTCCTCCCAGTCCATTTGTCAGTAAGCACAGACGGATTAAAGCCATGCATTTCCACAAACTCCCTCAACATATGTCAGGTTTGGTATACGAGCTGTTGTAACTCTCTTCCTACACACGGCTCTGCTCTGCAGCAGATTGGTGTGATTAGACAGATCATGCAAGGAGTGTGTGTAGAATATGTAAACATATTTGTTCCTGTACACAAGTAAAACTCACTTTTCTCTGAAAGTTATAGAAAAAACACATTTGCACAAGCAACATACAAAATGTTTTCTTGTGTGCAGTGACCATTGCCCGATGCCCAGACTGGCAGGTGATCATGTTGTTTGCCTGTCAAGTGTTAGTCTGTCTGTTAGAGTACTGTCATGAACCTAACAAAGTTAACTTCCATCACCCTCTGGAGCACGTTAGGAGTCATCAGGACTCTGTATCACAGAGCAGACAGTGTTCTCACTAACTCCGGAGCCAGGCAGAAGGAGAAATCCCACACAAAACAGGTCTAGAGCAATGTGGATATCCTAACTGGACCTTCCTGAAAGCAGAGAAGAAACCCAAACAGGACTTCAGTCAGCCATCAGTCAAGTCAAGTCAGATTTATTTATAGAGCACATTTAAAACAGAAACTGTTACCAAAGTGCTTAACAAAAATATCACAACATCAAATAAAAAGTAGCAAGATATATTTACAGCACATGGAATAAAAATATGAAACCGAAAACATAATTAGAAACAATGAAATACTAAATCAGATCACGTTGTGTCAAAAGTCAAGGAAATAATAACAAAAAGCATAAACTCAGTCAGAAACAATGAAATACTAAATCAGATCTGATGACCTTGTGTTAAATAGGAATAATAACAACAGCATAAACATCAGGTGAAAAGGAGGAACCCAGACTTGGACCAGTGGTTATTAAGAATGTTGCAGGAGTTTCAGAGAAACTGAGACGTTTATTTTCTAAACATAACGTCCCAGTGGCTTTTAAACCCCAAAATACATTACGGCAAAAACTGGTTCATCCCAAAGATCCAGTCCCCCGGCAGAAACAGAGTAATGTTGTGTATGCTGTTCAGTATCAGGAGGGCTGTGATCAGTCTTACATCGGGGAAACTAAACAGCCACTGGCCAAAAGGATGGCCCAGCACAGAAGATCAACAACATCAGGCCAGGACTCTGCGGTCTACACTCATCTCCAGGCCAGCGGTCACTCTTTCAGGGATGAAGATGTTCACATCCTGGACAGAGAGGAACGATGGTTTGAGAGAGGAGTAAAGGAGGCCATAGTTGTGAAGAGAAACCGTCCATCATTAAACAGGGGTGGAGGCCTCAGTGTTCAACTGTCCCCCTCTTACAATGCTGTTACTGCTAATACAGTAGTCCCTCGCTATTTCATGATTCGATTTTTGCGGACTCGCTTTATCGCGGTTTTTCAAAGTAAGATTGGATATGACACACAATGACTGATTGATGGATGAGCTGCATGATCAGCATGTATTTATTTTTATTTTTTTTTTGCACCTGTGTGCTGCCCACAACTGTGGGAGAAGCTTCCTCCTTCAGCTGATCTCCATGCAGAGCGGAGAAGTGGGCGTGGCCGAGAGTGCAGCAGGAGGCAGGGAGCTGAAATCATGACATTCTGTGCTCTTTTAGAGCGTTTAGAGTTTAGAAACGTTTAGAATATTGCAAGAGTGTGGGAAGGGTTTAAAACACCTTTATATATATGTATGTGTA